CGTTGAATTTTCGTCGATGTTAAGCCTAACGAAGACTATTGTATCGTTAAAAATTATTTTTTTATTTTGTACGAACAAAATAAATATATTCAAAAATATAAAAACAATAAAAAATTATACTTCAGATGTTAATTTAGTATCAAAAACGTAAAATATTTGAGTAGCCCAAGACATAGCCAAAGATTGAAGCGCCACAGCACTGGCGAAAATTTAAATTTGCCGACTGGAATTCTTTCGGACGATTGACTTTCGGAAAATCGACGCTCTACTGTAATTATTAAATTTATTACAAGGTGGGGTTTATGTATTTTCAGATTATCATGTATGAAAAATTTTTATTCAGATGCAAATTACAAGGCAGTAGAATAAGAGATGTAATTCTATGATATATTTAAGTCCATGATATTTATTTGAATAATTATTAGAATGATACACAAGGCTGTAATAATGATTTAAATAAATATTATAAATTTAGATCTTGCAAAATTACCTCCATATTCTACACTGAATTTATTCAAAAATCAAATTTTGCATAACGCATTACATCAAATTTTGATATTTCCACTAAATCTGAACTGGGAACTCTACTCAAAAACAAAGTGTGTTGCCTGGTAAAGTGGCTTTAATATAATTGTATTAAAGTTACTGGGCAATGTACCAAAAGGATAATATAATTGTATTAAATTTACTGGGCAATGTACCAAAAGGATTTGTGGAGCTTAAAATGCTGGTCATGCTGAATTTAAGGAGAGAGAACATTGAGATACATGAAATTTTGTTTGACTTTAGAAGTAGAAGAATACATTATATTATATAGGGTGTTCACCAGGATTAACAATGCTGTTTGATTTAAGGAGGGATTCAAGAAAGTGAGAGATTAAGTAAAGTTTTTTAAATATATGTATTTGTGCTTCTTTTAATTATCTTTTCTTATTTAATTTTAATCATTTAGAATTCATTTGAACCAAAACAATTGCTTGAATCAATATAATAAAGATTATAAAAATTTTATATATAAATATCATAGGAAATAATCAGTTATGTAACATATAGGTTATCATAACAGGAATCAGTTCTCCTTTTTTTGTATGTATTCTTTTTCTATTTTTTGCAAGTAGAATTTAAAAATAGTATAACTTTTTCCTGATTAAATATCTTGGTTGAAGTATATTAACATGAAAAAAGAACACATTTTAAATAGATAATAAGCATGTACTTTGCTAGATAGTCAGAGAAAAAAAATAATAGTTGAGTTTTGTTATAATTATAGATATTGTAATTAATTAATGAAAGAAATTCATCTAGTCCTATCTTCTAACTAATGAGAATAATAAATATTTAAGTAAACTCTACAAGCAAAATGTATTGATTTTCTTCAGAATGTTTATTTTTTCACAGTCAAATAAATATTTGTTATATATATATA